TTTGTTATTAAAACAACTGTAAAGCTGTAAAATAACTGTAAACCTTTGTAATTAATTAAAGCAATGTAAACCAGTCCAAATTTTGTTATTAAAACAACTGTAAAGCTGTAAAATAACTGTAAACCTTTGTAATTAATTAAAGCAATGTAAACCAGTCCAAATTTTGTTATTAAAACAACTGTAATCGTCTATTCTGACTGGAATTAAAGTCTCAATATCTTATGCTTCCCATCAACACTCTGATATATATCATCAAGGATGCACTCAAACTGATGAGGATCAAATTCGCCAGTCTTTCATGAGACATTGACTGACAGAGGTCTGTAAGCACATTTGTCAGAGCAGAAAAAACTCTTTCACATGTTGCAGTTGAGGATCCAATTGTTAATGCTGCCTCATACAGTTCTGTAATGGCTGTAAAGCCCTTTGATTTCAAATGGAAAAGCTGTTGCAAAACAAACACCAGGTTATGTTTGTCATTTTTCCTCCAGTGGTCACTGATGTATTTTTGGCAACATCAATTTGAGCCAAAACAAAGGTTGGTGGGTTTGATGCTGTTGCTGCTGCAAACCCAAAGCTCAGCTTACTTTGCTTGTGTTTCTTATTTTCTATTCTTCTTTCCTAAAACACAAAGAAATGAAAGAATGCAGTGATGAAAAATCAGACAATTATTTGAATATTAATTACATTCATTTTGTGAATTAATAAAGGACAATTTTTTACCACCTTTGTAAAATTAGGACCCTATTTAGGATATTACTGTTAAACTGTTAAAGTATTAATTACAAATTAAGTTATTTAAGTATCAGTTAGACATTAAGTAATCTGTATATAAAAAAGGAAGGACTTTGTGTGTTTGTGGCATTGTGACACAATATCTCAGATCACAGGCCAGCTAGAGCAAAGTGATGAATACATTAAATGCATGTTTTGACCAAGCCAAGAAAGTGACGTGCTGATTTTTTCGATCTGATGTCTGTCTGTCATCCTGTAACAGATCTGCGTATTCAACCAATCACAGTGCAGTCACGTTACGCCGTTATCACTTGCCGGGTGCGATCGGTTGAAGGTTTTAAGCTATAAAGCGTATAAAAATGTTGTTGAAGCCTATAGAGGAAGATAAAGTGCAAAAAAAGGTCTGTTGCATTAAGGGTGGTGTCGAAGCATGAAGACAGGAAAAAACTATTCAGTG